ATGCTGAGACTAAGATGACTAAGGTTCATCCGGCAAAATAGTTAAGGTATGGCTAGGTATTTTCAAATCAGTCAAGTTATGACAAGTTGCATGCAACAGCGCGATATCATTTCGAATGTCAGGCTCGGAATCCAGTTCGTTGCCGCGGTAGAGCAAAGGAAACGGACAGAACCTCGGCTTCGCCACGACCACGACATGCGCTGCCACGACTTCGATTCGATTTTGCCCAACATTTTTTGTGGTCGGTGTTGAGATCTTAGATCCACTAAGATATACTAAGATCATCTAAGATCCAAGCTCAATGTCCAACTCTGGCATCTGATCCTCTCAAAGTGAAAGCACCCTGCACATCCCATGGGAGAAATTGCATCTTCCCATGATAGCATCAGCATACTCAGCATACCCCAGAGTTGGGCTTCAAATAGCAACACGGTCATTGTCCTGCACTTCCATAACCCAGGTCTCGCGAGGTCCAAACCAATCTGCTGTGAAAATGGGGCCTTGCGTTTGAAACACACAAACTCTTTCGAAGCCAAAGCTAGTTGGAAGGAAGGCTTTCCAGAACATGTTGTCCTCAGACCAATTGGGACCAATTGGGACCAATTGGGACCAATTGGGCTGGTTTTCCGGTTTTCCGCTTGTCAACTGAGCATGGCATGCCTCATTGTCACAGCATGCCACAGCCATGCAGCTTGCCTCTGAAGCTCCACTGCAAGCCACTGGCTTTTGCAGCAGCTTCCAGAATGTTCTTTGCTGTGCCATAAGTGTCCTTGGCGGCCAAAAAATGCCTTGTCATTTAGATGTTTGATGACAGGATGAAATATGGCTTTCAAACAGTTTAAGGCAATATAAGATAAGAATACAGTAGATCAGAATAGATAGGAATGGACGAAACGTGCATATAATTATTCTCTTCTTTCCAGAAAACTTGAACCAAACTACCCTCCAAGAAGCAAACAAAGCCTTCAGCCAAGGTTGGTAAGGAAGCTCTACGAAGTGCCTCGAAATTTACACAAGGGCCTTTGCTACAAGGGTGACCAAATATATCCAAATATGATAACTGTGAAATAACGGATGAGAACAAAACCCTGCCTTGGCGACAATCGTAAGAGCTTTGCAATAAGGTCAATCCCACCTTGCACCCTGACATGCACAATGATGATATATGATCACAATTATCACAATTGATCAAGTATGCACAATGTCTTCCACAAAATATCTTTGCACGTTGCAGCATGATGCATAGCCATGCCATAGCGTCACAAGATGTCACAAGATATCACAAGGGCCTGGAGAGTCCAGCTTGCATATATTGCTGGACTGAGATGTTGTCAATGTGGTGTATAACCTCGAGTCAACCCGGGTCAACCCGAGTCCCGAGCCCTCTGTCGCTACAGTCGCTATCAAAGCACAACCAAAACACAACTGAGGCATAGCCAAAGCATAGCCAAATGCTATGCTGCTATGCTTGGTTTTCAGTCCAGGAGTCCAGGACAACTAGCTGTCACAAGCTACTTGCTATTGCTGGCTATGACTGGCTATTGGCTTCTACTGGCTTCTACTGGCTTCTACTGGCTATTGCTTCTGGCTCTTTCCAGCTGCAAACTGAAATCTCAAGCTGTGCAACAAGAAGGAAAACTAAGAAAAGATGGATCGGCAACGAGCTCATAACGACCAGGACACAACCAACAGGAGGGCGCTACCGCTAGCGAAAAGCTCTCACAGCCAAGTGATAAAAATATTGCTTAGGACCCAGAGTCCTAGAGGGGTCTGGGGTGGGAAAACTGGAAATGAGGACAGGCAAACACAAAGGTCGGACTTGCAAAGGACTTGCAAAGGTGACAAAGGCTGGCATTGCATCCAGCGGACAGGGAAGCGTGCAGCAGACGCGAATTACCTCTCCGAAGGACAGGAACAAGTCAGAAACTTATAGGTAAGAGTATCTCAAACAAATGCACGCAGTATGCACATTGATGCCAAACACCAAACCGTTTGTGGTACTGCACGCTGGGTGCATGGCCGAGAGCGAGAACATCGCATCACAAATTGGCCTGGCAGGAAGTTACCAATACGACCAGCAAACGACCAGAGTGCGTTGAGCTGGACAAAGCTGCGACAGAGCGGTGAAGGAGCCCTGCACAAGGGCTAGTCACGGCTAGTCACGGCTAGTCCTGCCTACCGGATGCCAAACTGCAGATGTATTTGTAGTCCCAGACCTGAAGTATGCTCTCACAGCATGACGCTGAGGATGCTGAGGAACATCGAACATACACTGTCACTATCTCGAATGCATTAAAGTAAAATCAAATCTTTCCTAATTCAAATGAATCCTAATAAATTCAAAAATGATAATATCTAGTTTTCAAGGTTTATGTTTATATTATCGAGATTATCGTGTTGTTTAATCCGGTTTAATTCACAAAATCTGCAGCTTCGATGCAGCATGGCACACAAGGCACACAAGGCTCACAAGGGTCACAAGGGTCACAAGGCTAGGCTCACCTCTGGCGCCACGAAGCAATTTGTCAGTTCCAACTTTTGGATCCAGCGCAAATGCGTTTGCACAGCCTTGGAGCCCGGCTACAGCTTACAGCAGGCACTGCTGTCAACACGCAAAAACATAGAAAGTTCCGTCTGAGTCAAGAATATCAGGCAAAAAAACACACTTCATGTGACTCCACGCGCAAAAAAAATGGCACATGGGTGTATGCTCAACTTGTAATTGCTATCTGGGAGCTTCAGTTCTTAGAATTTGCCTCACAGTGCCTTGCAAACCAGCAGTTCCATTTCCAATCCCAACAGAGCCTGCGACGCGCTGCGATGATCAAAATATCAGATCAGACCTACGATTTCCTACGTTTTGTGCTGAGGAGCTTCGACCCTCATGTTGACTCCCTGTGCCCAACTGCTGGCTTTATAGAGCTGCTAGATTCACACATATGCTACACTGCTACACCTGCATCATCCCACATCATCCTGCATCATCCTGCATCCTCCTGCATCTACAGTAAATTTGGTGGCGTTCACAGGTTGCTGTGCTCTGGTGTTCTTTGGAAACTTTGGCAAATTCCCGCAGTGTCGCCTTCAATGGCCACCACATCAGCTTCTGGGTGCCTGGCTATGGCAACTTCGCACTTTTCAGTCTCACACCAATAGCCCGTGGCGGCATGGCATATGGCAGGATATGGCAGGCCTGTAAGCTGCCTTTAATGCAAAGAATCCGTTGCAAGAACCCAGGTCAACGATTCGAAGCGGCCTGGGCTGCTGAGTCGTCTGAGTCGTCTGAGTCGTCTGAGTCGTCTGAGTCGTCTCTAAGTTGTCTGAGTCGTCTGACTGTCACGCAACCCCCCACGCATCTCCATGGCCTCGTTTTGCTCGATGCAGCAAGCATTTCTGCCAGGACCGGTTTGATTGCCTAGCAAAATAGCACGTAGTCAGCATGTAATAGCACTCCAGCAACATACTCTATTGATATTTCTGTGAACGGCTTGTTTCCACTGCGAACAAGGTAACAAGGTAAGGCAAGGTAACACAAGGTAACAGCAGGTATATAATACAACCGAATACAACCGAATACAATATATACAATCTTGATCAATCTTGCAAGATATTGCAAGAAACTCGCCCGGCCTCCCATCTGCCAGTGAAGTGCTCCCATGGCCTGTCTGTCTTCCCCGCAACATAGGTGAAGTCTTTCCTCAGTGCAGTGCCCATCAGTGCCCCATTGTCCCAACCATTGTCCCAACCATTGTCCCAACCATTGTCCTATGAATGCTATGTATATTGTCCATGTATCTGCCTGATCTGCCTCTGCCTATGTATCTGCCATGATTCAAGCCTCACACAATGAGCCCCCGCTATTGGTACGAAGATATGGGTGAAGCAAGAGGTTATCCGTTCTCCAGGCCCGAGCTGGTCTAAACATGTCTAAACATGTCTAAACGCCTGAAGAAAAGACATTTTGCAGTTCCCCTCTGTTCTTTGTTGATCTTTGCCTATGCTGTTCACTATACCCAAGGACTTGGAGCACGGATGACGGCTAAGTTGCTTCGACAGCACCACATCCAGCTCTGACATGCAAGCCTGGTCAGGCTGTACATGCAGTCACCCGGGCCACCCGTCGCAAATCTGCAAATGTCTGATGTTCACGATTCAAAATGCGACAAGGGGCTAATACATCTGCTGCCCAAAATATCCCAAATTTTGGCATTGCATGGACACGCTGGTATCAAACATCTTGAATCGCCAGGCATTCTTGAGATTGAAGTACGTTCGCAAATCTAGACATCCAAGTGCAAACCACGCCCTGCCTGTTGCAGAGAAGTTGTCACACGGGGCTACAGTCGGCTACGGCAACGCTGAGCGAAACAAATCAAAGTGCTGAGCTCTTTTGACGTACTGGGCTTTCAGCACTGTGCAGAGTGCTGGGCTTTCAGAATGTTTCAATGATTCTCTGGAAGTTGCATGAGCTTGATAGTTGTTGTTGGAAGATATTGAAATAAGATGGGACCGAAAAAAAGGTTGGATTTAATACAAAGAAATAGTCAAATAATACAAAGTGTAGCAGGTGAAGTTAGGATTGACTGGTCTAGTCACAGAACATAAAAATAGAGTAAACTAAGGTGAGCTAATAGCCTAATAGCCCAATAGCCTAATAGCCTAATAGCATGTCTAATAGCATGTCCAAGCTCTTTCTTGAGCCTGCTGGGCCAACTTAGTGTCCAAACAAGTGACAGTGTGAAAGAATATCAAAAGTGGCCGTGGCCCCAAAGAGCCCAAAAGTAGAAGCAACGACAAACAAAGTAAAGTCGACACTGTCGACACTCTACCTTCAGTAGCGGTGTGGTTTCAAAGCCATTCGCACATGATTCCCATGCAAAACAAACTGAACATATCCGTGCGTTTTGTGTGCCAAAAAGAGGTTGAAGACATTGTGCAAAGCTTTGGTTGAAAACATCTGTGTGTTTCTGAGTCTGACTTTGATGACTTTGGTCCCGCGCTGCTCAAGGATTCGTTGACCATGCCTCGTGGAAAACATGAATAATAGTCAGAAATCGAATTCTGGGTTTGAGAGCATACAGCAATCTTCGTCGGGCAATGGAATATTTTCATAGCGTCGCAATTGAATAATCTGTCTGGGCCATGACTGCAAGAACTTCAGCATCGAGCCTTTTTCCGAGGGGGTCAGCACAGAGGGCCGAAGAGTTCGACAGATTTGCTACCCGAAAGCTTGATGAAACAGCAGCGGATTTGACACAAGATAAGACAAGATAACACAAGTATGCAGTAAAACGTGGCATTCAACATACCAAGATATACCAAGTATGATCAACTGTCACTGCAATCCTTGCCATGGTACCCTATCGACAGAGGGCAATGCACAGCAACCTGAAATGGTGGTGTCGTACCATTCTGCTTCATCAAGTCCTTCAACAGTCTTTGGCCTCAAACAGCACTGTCGTTGACAAATACGTAAAAGCATGCACTAAACATTTAGAATTCGGCAGTGATGGTGTTCTGCCCGAATTTCGTTTGCGCTGAGAACAGGTCTGATAAACAAACCTCCCATACACAAAGTTACCTGACATTCACAACATATTAATGTGCAATCAGCTGACAATTACCCCTGTTGGACACTCTCTGACACAACTTTCCGGTAGTTTGTGTTCACTTTTTTTTGTCCGTTGGCGATCCATTCCCAACCGAGGAAACATTTGGTTCTAAGTTTTTTCGATGTCCTTTGCCCAATTTTGTGTTACTTTATACCCCTGTTATCATTTTGTTGTCGCAATTTTGAGCACGTACCAAATGTACGAAAAGTACCAAAGAAATGATGAAAATTTGCCAGGTGTGCAGCTGAAGGTGTACATGCCACGAGTTGAAGAAGTAGCGGTCGGGCCCGCAAAACTCTCCGGAAACCTCAAACCATCAAGTAGCGGCCGTACACATCGGAAATGTCGGACAAATCACAAGCTACACAAATTGATTTGTTTCGTTGAACCCATGTTTACACCAAATGTGGTTTTGGATATAGCCTATATACCCTTCTTACATATATGTTGGATTCAGGCAGCCAAAATCCTGTTTTACCTGATGTTGCAGCCTGGTTACGCAAGGCAAAACAGTGCAAAACTGACAAAAACAGTTCAAGGTTTGCGGAGCATGGGATTAATCAAAGCATTTGGCATCCAACTGGCATATGTACCAGCATAAACGCCAGCAGCAGCAATTATCAGGCCTCAATTTGCACCATCAAAACCCATCATGACCACCACAAATGTGTGACAAGTTTGTACAACACTGGCATTCTGAGGCATTCGCTCGTGGGCGGATCCAAGGAATCATCGACCTGTGAGCATCTGTGAGCATCTGTGAGCTGGGAAAAAAATGCGTTACCCCATTACCCCCAATTCTTGAACACCTTGCCGGACCTTGCCGGAGCTTGCCTGCTTCCGTTCTGATTCATCCATCTTTTCTCGGGTTGCCGGGACCTGTCAATAACACCATGCGTTTTTACTTTTACATTGTGGTCTTGTGTTTGCAGTTTCACATTCAAAACAACGGTCCATCCTGCAAAAAGCGCATGCACCGCACGATGGCCTCAACTCAAAAATTGAAAATTGGAGAAATTCGAGAAATTGCAAAAATTGGGTCAAAAATATCACAAATCAAAAATAATCAAAATGCGGCACGGCCCACGGCGTCCAAATTTTGGGTTCCTCAGAGTTCCTCACTGCTTTGTGCCACACATCGGCATTCAACGGCGCCACCTGCACAACATTTCGGCGTGACTCGAATGTTGCAATCAAATCTGCAGCGACGAGCCTCCATCACCACGTTTGTGTCACAAATCGTTTTCAATGGTGTTACCGATGTTTTTGCTGAGAAAGTGCCGGTCATCATCATGTATGAGTCAAGCCGTTTGACCATTCAAAATAAAAAAATACACTGGGCGCAACATGCTGACCACTTCAATCGCAGTGATTATTTGTTTCATAAATCATAAAAATGATTAACGAACGTTTTTTATGTAACAACTCCTGATTTGGTCACCAATAGAATCAAAAATGCACAGCAATTTTTGGTGAGATCAATGTGTGTGACCACAAAAGGGCTGCAGATGTCAAAGCATAAATGTTGTCCAGATTCAACGATGTCGATATGTATATGTGCATATATGATACTGCATGTGCATATATGCATGTGCATTTTATTGATATATATATATATACATATATACGTACAGTTTTTGAAAAAATGAAAAAATACTTACACATATTGGAAAAACAAAACGCACAGCAAATGTGGAAAACGATGCATTGAAGAATAGACATTGAATCAACACAAACCTGCAAAAATAAAAACACAACAAAATTCAATATCACATGGATGTTCTTTGAAAAAACATGTGGTTTCAAACAGACCAAATTTGGTTTGTCAAAAACACTCCATCATGGCGCTGTGCAATAATGCCGTCTTGCTGTGTTCAACAACAAACCGTTTTCTTTAAACCGTATACAAGTCGAATTATCATGGCAAAAACAAAAATGCCGATTAGGAAAACATAACCAAATCTTGAAATGCCAGTTGACCCAACTCATATTTTTTTGCAACAAAATGTCAAACACACATTTGTCTCGCTTATCAGCGTGGGTAAGCAAATGAAATCATTGCCCCCGTGTTCAACAAATTTGGCGGAGACCCTAACAATTCAATTTTTGTTGACGGCGTCTACAACCCTGCACTCGGAAATCGACACGGGGAGTGAAGCAAACATTGCAAAGTTCGCTCTGTTTTGCCACAATGTTGTGGTCAGCCCGATCATTCAATTGAGAGAAAATACCACCCCCAAAGAAATATGTAAACCAATTGAAAATTTGTAACAATTGATATATAAGCCAATTGAAAAGTTGATGTTTCTTTTCGCTGATCCAAAAGCGTCTCGGACAATTGCTGGATGTCGAATGGCGCAAACATCTTTCACCCCGCCTTGACACAGCCTTCAACTTGCGTCACCAAAACAAATGCCAAAAACATCCAAAGGGTTGTTGCTGCCTGGGGCACTCATTGGTGTGCCAAGACTTGCGATGCCTTTCAAGGCTAACCCAATGGCTGCAACGTGAAATTAATGAAACTAACCTGCTAAGCGTCCTTACGGAGATCCACGTTAGCCTCGCTTTGGGCTGCATTTCTGAACATTGAAGGCACATGCAAATATCTGCTGTCTATTCAAGCGCCGTTTCCAGAAATTGCAAAATGAAAGCTCATGGCTCAACTTTCACTGCTGTCACCATCACAACTTTCACTGCTGTCACCATCACAGGGGCCATAGTGGATCAGCATCCAAAATCCAAACTTCGGGATCTCAACACTAGGCCATGTCACATGTATGCAAATATCGGTTTCTTCTCTGAAGCTCTGTCTCAATCACTGCATCATTTGAACTTTCTGAAGGATCATGCAAAGTAGAATCAGCAGCTCGGTCGCTCCTCTTGTCATCCGCATGTTGTTGCAAGCGCCGCTACATAAGTCGAATGTCATCTGAAAATGTCGAACATCATCTTGTGAAGGAGAACGTCTTTGATTTTGATGGTCTGGTGAATCTTCATCTGAATTGACCATGAAAGCATGAACTCGACACGAATTCGATGTATATCATCACCAGAATGAGGGCCTGCAATGGCCTCATGCAAAAACTTCACACGCATAGCATACTCTGCTGCGGGCACCATCACTTGTCGAATTGCGACGACGCAAACATCGTTCAAGCATCCAAACCAACATGCCATGCGCAGAGGGCTGTTGTTGGATTCCAAACCCACGGTCAACATCACCTTGGGGAATCTGAGAGCTGCCGCTCGGCTGCTGAAAAACCTTCTGGCTCAATCTGATCAGCATCCTGCACATGTTGAAATTATCCCTCCTGCAAAGCATTTGTAAAGACCCAAATGATCCAGGACGTACCACCATCGTCAGTAGAGCCAACAGTTGCTGTGCACCCTTGCAAGGGGAAGAGGCTCAAGATGCTCATCAACTGTGCCAGTTTCTTGTGCTTTGTAAAGATCTTGCCGGGGTCATCGGAACCTTCCAAACAGCCGCTTGTTGTACTGAACATACCTACCAAAATCATCAACGATCTCATCCTTCCAATTGGGAACCGCTTAGTTCCAACATCAAGCTGAGGGTCTCATCAAGCCCTCCTCAAGAGGTTCACCCTCGTCCTGAGCCTCAGCTGGCTCTGGGTCTGGATAAATCTCAACCTCATAGCCCACCCTCACAAACATCTGATTGGTCACCTGCATCGCCTTGTTGTGCATCTTCAACTGCTGCAGCAAGAACACGGCCACACATGAAAAATCCACTTGCAGAAACTCCCTTTGCATATGTGTGTGCGAGAGTGATCAGTTCGACAACATTTTCAGGACGGAAAAACTCAGCCTCCAAATCACGATGCCAATCAGAGATTGGCTCAAAGCTCGTCAACCTCACAGCCACTACCAGCTCCATCCATGCACCAAACAACGCAATGTCATGCCAAGTTGAACCGCTCGAATTGCAAACTGCTCATGGCTGGACTCAACCTGGGAAACTGACATCTGGCCATAAGTTCTGGATTTGCTCCCACATGGTGCAATCTTTGTTGAATGTTGGACACCCCATCAATGCAGAAAGAATTGTTAAGGACCTGGCTTTGGTTTTGGGAGCATAGGCACAGAGGTTGCGAAGCTGTCCCCAAACCTCGAAGCCGTTTGAGTTTGGCATTTGGCGAAGCACCTTCAACGGCCAATTGTTCAGAATGCCTGAAAGACTTGCAAACAATACAACTTGCAAGACTGCTCACGACTGGCAATGCCTGCAACATTCTCCTGAAGAGTCACTGGGCTTGAACCGTGCTCCTCCACGTAAACGTAGGTCAAGTCTGCGCTATATGAAGAATCTGAACAACACAGCCACTGCCTGAAAGAAATGCAAAGCCAGTCCAACCAGATTGATCTTCTGACGATGTTGCACTACCAAACTTTCTGAGGCATTGGGCCGTCTTTGGGCGCTTCACCAAACCCTGCGCTACGACACTTATTGGCTTCTCAGAGCGCTTGCGCTGCTTGACCTGCAGCTGTTGCAGCTTGCTGGACAGATCGACTCAAAACAGCTGGATCCATGGTTCACTGCAGAAATCAAGGTTAAATCAAATGCAAATGCTTTTACTGGGTGCACACGGCGACAAGCAATGCAAGATGAAATGCCAAACAGCTAGAAAACCGTGTGAATCAACTGGGCACCAAATGCAAGAAATTCACCTGCTGTCAAAGGTCAAAATGCTGCAACGGTCTACCAATCCAGAAATATAGCAACCCCGAGCTGAACGACGACGGGCCTAACGGTAGCTTCTGCGGGTGTCCCACTTTCTGGGGGCTCCGCTACCATGATTCTTCGCAGTAAAGATCACGAACTAATCAGCTACAAGCGACAGTCGGGCCAGACCCGCATGGAAGACCATCGGACTTCGATTGAAACAAGAACCTGAAGCCTGCAAAGCACGATGGCTTGTATTGAAACAAAATATGCCTGAGCTGCACTCCCCTGGTGAACCTGAAGCAGAAGACTAAACGGTCTACAGCTTGCGCTAACATCGCCTGGGAAAAAGTGTCTTGTCTTGGTTTTGTTTGCTTCCTTTTCTATTTCAATCTGATTATATCCTGATTTTACCTGTTCTAGCCCCGGCTCAACTTCGTTTACGCTTTCGTACCATGTATCGTGACCGCTTCCGCAGTTTTCCAGGCATGACACGAGTGGCTGCAGGTGCAGCACCACCGGCACTTCTGGAACTTCCAACTGGAGACAGAGGTGTTATGCTCATCCACTGCGTTGAGGATCGGCTCTGTGTGTGGAAGCCTGCTTATGTTCAGGAAGTGGGCTACGACTTGGCCATTGTTGAAGGGCAACCCTACCTGGAGTGGGAGAGCCTGTCACTGATATGGTCACCTACTCTTTGTCCCACTTGAAGCTGGCCGGTATCATATTGATCACTTGCAGATCACCCACCCAGAGGCGGTCCCGCACGGACTACGATGCGAAGGGCTCCTTCGAGTTTTGTCATGGGTAAGCTTTCACCTGTGGCCACCACTTAGGAAAAATACACGATTGCCCACAGCAATCATGTTGGGTTGAAATTCATCGCCTTGAAGTGGCAGAATTTGCCCCCAGCAATGGACGACGGGGATTCGTCCAGCGATGATTACACCACTCAGGCATCAATGATCGCACTAAGGAAAACCACTCAGGACATTGGGACGACCAACAGCCATAGACTCGCATGGCTCATGAGCGGCGTTGTACCATTAGATTTCTTTTGTCACTACCCGGAAACCGGAGTTTACATCGTCAATCTATCGAAAACATGTCACCGCTCCTGTTTCACTTTGCTGTCACATGTTTGAGCTAGGACATTGATGCCATTCATGCGAATGCCACGGCACTGCTTGATGTCTTCTTTTTGACATTTCTTGTTTGACGTGTTATTTCACTGGACGTCTTGGCACTCTTGGTTTAGAGATTCTTATCTCCTAGTTTCTGCCTTAAACTCCTTTCTGTAGAATTCTTTACCTCTCAGTTGCCCAGGGTGATCGTTCCCCACTGTCCAAACATGGCTGGCTCTGACCGCTCTCGATCACCGGCGCCTGGGCGCAATCATACTGAACCCCGTGGACAAGTTCAAGCTCCTCGTCCAGAACTACCATTCTTCCCAGGATGGCGTGGACCAATGAACTCGTCGATTTTGCACCTTCAGAACATGCCGCGCCCTCAGTATCGACCTCAGTGGGCAACGAACCAGTCGGGACCTTATATGATGGGACGCATGAGTCCCAATCCATAATGCAGACCAATTGGTCAAGTCATCATTTTCCACCAGCTCCTCCTCCGTCAACTCCACAAACTTTGCCATATCTTCCAGTCCATTGACTTTTTGATTGTCGTAGTGGTCCTTGTCGTCCTGCCAGTGAGGGTTGAGATCAAACCCGTAAGTTCTTGTCGCTTCATGGTAGCCAACTCCTTTTGGTGAAGTCGAAGGAGTTGTCTCATGTGGACGTGGCTGAGACGAAGGGACGGAAGGTGTGCCTGGAGAGCACGGTTGTGCTGGTGGGCATGGCATCGTCGGTGAGCAAGGTGGAGTGGCTTGGCTTGATGGTGACATTCCCCAGAACCCGTCAATTAGCTTTTTTTCCTTCCAACGCCTTCATGGCTTTCGCCAGGTCGTTACACACGTTCAATCGCAGCAAAAAGATGAATTGTAAATTATCATGCAAGGCCGTCTGAACGTCGATAGCCTCAAAAGAGCACTGGTAATGGACATATACACAGTCCAGTGAGCGGTCCCATCAAACTCCAAACCACAAACAAGGCAAACAAACAAAGAACACACAAAACCACAACAAAACCAAAACCACAAAGCACAGAGAAGTGGGATCGCTACCAGCTCTGAGAAATAAGATGCACGATGACATCTTGTGTGTCATCTTGAGTATGGCCACCGAAAAAGAAGCAAACAAAGGCAACGCGGAACAAAACAAAGGGGCCATACAAGAGGGTGATAGAGACAACAAAGCTCAATGCGGAAACCGGGGATCCCCCCAGCCAGGATCCCAGAGATCACAGAGAGCAGCCATTCAGGCATAACGTTCACCCAGGCACTTCGAAGCAAACAACGACGACGCCGTGTCGCAACGAGAGTGGTGAAAAACTGTAAAAGGTGAAACAGGAGGTGAGACATGATCTCATGTGAGAAAGACAGCAGTAGCTACGGCATTCAGGGCGCACTCAGAGTCCGCTCAGTAGTTCTTTTCCAAGCATCTCATCATCGGGGGCACACAGCTCTGATGGAATTACATGGTGAGCTTGGGAGCCGGCATCTCTCGTTCTGGAGCAGTGCACAAGCTATCAATCAACAAATGCGTGCGTTGCAATCAATTGTATTCGATGCGATCGAGTTGACACTGGTTGCTAGCTCACCAGCATTGGTACAGGCTTGCGAGCGTTCAATTCTTTTGACAGGGACCAGTTCTATCATCGAAATGTTCAGCAGAGGTTCTGGACGGGCAACTTGTGTCAGCTGTGTTGAGGTCCTCTGTAGGGTGGGGTTGCACACTCGCTAGCATAAGCTGTAGCTGTCGGCTTATAACTGCACGTTCTGTTACATTGGCTCGGGCTTCTACACGGATGCGTAGACTGTTCAGGCAACAGCAAGCCGTGCGTATGGCTCTGCAATCTTGTTCGTTGATTACGCCTGCAAGGAGTTCTGTTTGCTGCAATGAGGCATAAGTTGCTTCCAGTGTCCGCTGGGTATGCGACAATTTGCAAACGTAGTCTTGTAGGAGGAGAAGATCTTGTGCATCATTGTGACACTGGAGTTCTTGAGGCACGCATGCTAGTTCGCTCGGTTGCGCTGTATCCATATGTTCAGTCTGCATTCGAGTAGTAGACGCAGTTGGTTAGCAGGCTGAGCAAAACCGCAACGGGTGCCATGGCTTGATGTACTTTGACATCGTCCTATGCTACCAGTTACTATGTAAAATCAGTTGCCCCGTTAGATTGTTACTAGGGCCCCCCTCCCCTTTCCTCCCTCCCCCTAATTACTTTGGCAGGCTTCCTACGAAGTCAATTGCCTAAGGTATAGGGGGTGTCCTGGGTCAGAGAAGCACTAGTCAACCATGGGGACTCCATGGTGACAGCACCTGTATTGCACAGTGGTCACGACGTAGTAGGTGGCAACCGTGGGTACCCCACGTTGACCGTTTGCGATTACTGGAACTGCACTGGCGTACCGGCGCTGTGGTGTTCATGGCTGCCAGAGCTATTGGCTGCGCTGTTGGAGGGAGGTGGGTCACTACTTCTTGCTGGCTTGATCATTTACGCAATGAGTGGATGACTTTGCTTTTCGAGCAGAATCTTGGTCATTTCTTGACTGAAAGCGGCAGGATCGTCCACCAATGCCTTAGCCTCCGCGAGTGGCCTGTCAAGGACAATGGCAATAAGCATTTCGCCGCCATCTTTTTGGATGAGGGCCAGTCGGCCGGCTTGCATCTGCTCAAGGATCGTAACTGCCTTGTTTTCACACAAGGTGCGCTCCCATTCCTCCAGGGCTCTCTGTGCTAAGGTGCCAGTTTGTGGTGGGACATTTTGAGCTGCTGGCGTCCCCAACGCCAGGATGAAGGGACTGTCAGGCAGCGTGGAGGATGGCAGTTCTGCGGTAGCAGCTACTGCTCGGCGAATGTCACTCTCCTTTACTTCATAAGACGGGGATGATTTGTGCCCAATGGCC